GTAGAATATAATCATTATTTATGGTCAATCGACTGAAGCCAGTGAAAATCGTCAAATCTTAATTAGCATTTCAAGGAAGATCTGAACCTCTTCGTGATCGAAATCCCGAAATAATTACAAACGAATGTGGCGGAAGGCAATTACTCTTAGTGTATAAAAAGTGGCACGTTTAGAATTGCACCCGACAATTCCATTTAAATTTATTAGTCACTGATCGGCGTTTCCGCACGTGAGCTTAAGAAATATATTACTCCTCTGATCTCCCAATAGGCCAAATCAAGCGAGAATGTAGTTGCCTCAGTCCAACGTAACTCAAGGAATGCATAAACGAAAGGAAAAAACTAGCAGTTCTCGTGGAAATGTGTTGGAATACATACTCGAAATGTTGGCTGTTTGGTAACAGCCATACATTATATTGCACGTAATATGCAAGCATATTTATCCGAAAGTTTAACAAAAGGATTATTTTCCAACTTAATTTTACTTGTGCTGCTTTATTCATTCGGTGGTTTTGCATGAACGGGCTTCCTCTAAATGTAAAGCTTAAGTTTACCTAGTACGCCCGACTTCCACTTTTTCGGAATTTTCTGTTTTTCTAAAAAAGCCGGTATTTCTATTAAACTTTATATTCCTTTATAAATCGCAATATGTACTATTGTGAAGAACGACCATTACTTTATTGCTGTAAGACTTTGGGGGCCGCAGCTTAGGCCGCGTTTGAGTAACGGAGTTACTTGTAAAAATCCTTAGATTTCATGGGTTAGGTAACCAACTGTAAGTAGGCCACCATTTGTATGTTAGTAAGCGGATAACGCTGCTTCTGCAGTCTTGTTGCACGAGTGCCGCGGAATACCTTGCAATTTATATCGGTATAATTTTTTTGCCCCATTTTCATTAATTTTATTCAGTGTGATAAATATTTTAACAATTGACAGCTTATCGTATTTTATGCCTTTTACGCTGGTGTATCATAGTTTGCCGCCTTTTAAGTTTGTTTAAACCCACTTCCTCGATGTCACCGTACTGCGACATCACGATCTTTTCGACGTCTATCGCCATTAAAAACCTCAAGACATGTTTTCAAGGACTGCATTTTATAAACTGTTCTATAAGAAGTCAATATTTGTCGATTAAACTGGATAACACATGCAGTCTCATTAGTTTTTCTTCCATACTACCTCTCATTTGGTCAGCGATCTCGGTCGTGAATATTTTGCCCTAAAGCTGTACTCACGCGGTCTTCAGCAGCACGCCTTAATGGAGTCAGAATTCTTATAACTTAAATCTTGGGCAGCAGAAGCGCTCCACTTATGTTGGTTAACATGGCCGACAAAGGAGACTGGATTGCCCATTTCTGGTTCTTT